GAGGTGGTGCTACCTCAAATAGCCAGGGAGGGGCTATGGTCATGATGTGGAAGCGCCACCTCCTATGGGTACTGTTAGGCAAAATTCTCCAGCTCTGTTGTGCTGGGTGTGCACACACCTATGTGGAATACATGGCTGAATCTACTCAAAGAAGAAACTAAAATTTCCAGGAAGTTTTTAAAAAGATTTGATGGGAATTTTAATATTCTGTGATTATATTTTCTAGGGTGAAAACATGTTAACAATAGCATTAACACCAGCAACCTCTGTCAATGATTTCACAAAGCAAAACAGACTGTTTTAAGAGAGTGATCTACAGCTGTTCTTTTCACATTTCTTAAACCATTAATGAACATAAAATAGTTTCTGTTGAACTGAAAATAAAGCCACCCTGACAGACTTTGGTTAGTGATATCATGTTTTTAATTATTTAGTGGCTGCTTCAGGCTGTTTTTGGACATGCTGCCTTGCTTCTGCTTTAGTGAAGCCTTTTTTCCTCTAGCTGCCATAGTACTCGAGTGGAAACCACAAAACCACTTCTTTGGAGGAGAGTTGAAGGATGTGGATTCATCAGAAAGCTCCTCTGCAGCTACTTCTTGCATGATGTCATTGCTTAGATTTGCATTCAAAGTAATGTCTCAGGCTACGTTGCAGGGCTCAATCCATATGGTAATACACTGTATTTAAGAGGAAACTCCTGGTTTTAATTTAACCCCAGAAAAATGTTTAATGGCTCACACATTAAGTATCAGAAAGCACTGACATGAGAATCTGAATGATTGTTTTAAGTTTGTACATCTTAGTTAAAAATAGATTTCTAATTAATCATGTTACACTTTTCCCACCCGAGTACAGTGTTTGATTTATTATAGTGTTTGGTAGATCATTATCTTTACTTTTGTAGACAGTTTTGTATGTGGTAATTGTTAAGATTATATTAAAAACCTGTACAACTTAATTAAAATGTATAAAATTAATGAAATAATAGACATTTGTCTTCAACATAAAATCAAATGCATATTTAGGTTTGGAAGAATTCTATTTTTATTTCCATTCATAAGTGCGACAGATAATAACGATATTTATTTTTAAGCAGTTTTTTTATTTTAATCTATTTAAATTTTTACAGTTGGGGAAATTATAGATAGGGTTAAACATTTATTTAATGAGAGTAGATGCTGAGATTCAGAAAGATAAAGCTTTATAAACTGTTAAAACAATTTGTCAGCAACACATGAAAATATACAAAGTAAATATCCTTACACCCAGTTTTTAATATGCATTCACTAGTACATTTGTAATGAGACTAATTCAAAAATCTAAATCGCAAGATTTTGACTAATAAAAGTGGCTTTTTTCCTACTTTGCCTATCTGAAAATTTTGATCATTATACATGGACATATTTTTGTCAGTCTGTGTGTGTATGGTGAAACTGACATTTACAGATAATTACCAGTAAAAATCTAATCCTTACAAGCCTATGCATATTCAGTCATTGCAGTTTGGATTTAAACACCTTATGAGATGTTGAATGGGTGTTTTGTATTGTTTTTTTACTTTTGGGGTTATTGGGGACAGAAAATATTTAATGGCTCAGTAGTTTACTATGTATTGTGGAACCACAGATTGTGACTACTTAAGACACAGTACTGGGATAGAGAGGCATGAACTAATTATGATACCTTGAATAAATGCATTCTTGGATAGTCACTGAACAAATTCCAGCACTGTTAATAAAGCAATATTAGGACTCTTACAGGCAGCTTTGTTACTCATGGATGAAAAAGTTATTGGGACACAGGGCTTGCCTTCACTACGGGGGTAAGCCGACCTAAGTTACGCTACTCCAGCTACTGGTCAACGTAGTTTAGGTCAACTTACCCCGGTGTCTTCACGGTGCTGAGTCGACGGAAGACGCTCTCTGGTCGACTTCCCTTACTCTTCTTGGAGAGCTGGAGTACCGGGGTCAACCAGAGAGCACTCTGCCATCGATTTAGCGGGTCTTCACTAGACCCACTAAATTTATCCCTGCTGAATCGATTGCAGCAATGTCAATCTCCCTGTAGTGGAGACCAGCCCACAACCTTTGTGGATGAAGGAAAGAAGAAAAGTGGGAGTGGATGACAATATGATAGTCACTACCCCTTTTATCTTGAAGTCTTGGGTTGAAATGTCTTTTAGGGCAAATGGGAAAGGTTCAATGGTCTCACAGTAGGGCTCTTTTCAAACTTTCACACATTCTGGTATGGTTGACAGTCTTTGGTCATGACTGGAGTAACTGATGGTGGTGCAGGTCAGACTTCAGATGTATGGGTAAAACTAAGTGCAGAGCCAAATTCACCATATACACTATTTATAGCCAATGACACCAGTCCCTACGTTAACGGCCAGATTCTGGCACCCTTGTTTACACTGAGTAGTACGTTACTCCTCTTAAAATGTCACTGACTTCAAAAGACAAGGGGGAGAAACTTTTAAGTAGCCTTGCATTCGGAAGGATCCAGACCCCTGGGTAAATTATATATAAGGATCACTCAGCCATCAATGAAATGTCATCACCTCTGACCTGTAACATAGCTGCTGTTTCACAAGAGTTTATGGAGGCAAGTGGAGAAAAAACACTACAGGTGTGGAGAAAAATGGAATCTTTTTGTATTAGCTGGTCCAGAGCCAAGTGAAAAGATGGAACATTTTCTGATCAACTCTAACCCTAACAATACTGCAAAATTGATTTTGAACCAAATGCAAAACCTGAGCAAAGCTAGGATAACATCTTCTGTAAGGTTTCTCCTGACATGAGTTTTTTTAGTGGAGTGTTTGTTTGGTACTGGGATGAAGGTGACATTTGTTGTTATGCGTTTTTAAAATTATGATTATTTCTTAAATAAAGTTAGAGAAAATATTCAGGCATTCAAAAGTTTACATGTTCCACCAAGTCTGACGTGTTTCACTTTAATTTTTCTAAGCTTTAGCTCTTATCCTGGGTTCTTTGACTTTCAGGGAATTTATCTGCTGTTTTGTTTTGATCCAAATAAATACAGTTGAGCATATGACTGCAAGTAGCAAAGAACAAAAAGGTCCATCTTTTTTGTTCCCTCTCCTCCTCTGATGGAGAAGTATGGATTTCAGTGCAATTACACGGCACACACATCAATTACACATCATACCACGTACAGTAAATGTACTATGATTGGAGTTAAACTGGTTAGAGCTGGATCAGTTATAGTACTAGTAGAAAAGGTTAAGGAAATAAAAAGTCTGTTAGAGAGACAGCCAGTGCAGTCACTTCACACAACAGAGTGGGATTACTTTTCAAGAACAGAAGCTAGAGTTGGGTAGAATGCTGTAACTGAAAATGTAGCTACTTTATAACCTCTAGTGAAATTGTGCCTGGATGATCACACAGTGACTTTGCAGACTTATTCCTTTTCTCACACCAGGAATAGCATTGCTTCTCATGGGAGAGACCTTGGCTGCCCCAACAAGACAGTGCTAGCTCTAAGGATAAGTATCACCCATACACATTTTGATCTAATTGGAGAACGCAGTTTTGTGGGAACAATGTTGTTCTTCGGTACATCAAAATAAACTCATTCATCAACGTGAGATTCTTTAATTCTGTTTCAACAGAACTTCAGGGCCTTCCTGGTATTAAAAAAAAGTCATGCTACCTCAGCTTTATCAGAGGAAAAGAGCACTGGGATGGGAGAAAATTATATGTTTAAAGGGACACTTTACACAGATTCATAGGGAGATTTACAGAGAGTCCACAATGCTAGAGAAAAGATCCTGGGTCTCACTATAACTGTGCTTGGGGCAGGCTAGAAGGAAAAAAGGTGGCTTCAGATCACACTGATTCCTCCTGATCTTGGTCTGTCCCGGTGCCGGTCCAGTTCTCTGGTGAAACAAAGGAATTCAGGGCTGCTATAAATTACACTCAGCTGCCCACAACCCCAGGCAGTTGTTTCAGCAGCTGAAGATTGCTGGAGCACCCTGGTCATACCCCTATGCCAAGGGCCAGGAGCAGGAGTGAAATAGAGTTGCCCCTAGGCCAGGGGAATCCTGAGGGGTCTGGTTAAGCAGATTTCCTGACACATCTGCATCACTGGAACAGAGAAGCTGGAGCACAGAAGAGGAGCAGTCTGTTTAACAGGAGACTTAATTCTCAATATGGGTCAGAAAAACTGTTTGGAAAGGGGTGCTGGCCTCTTATATACCCCCTAACGGCTCCTGAGGTGTAGGCATTACACCCTGCATGAGCTAATCCAGGATTGAAATGTAAGGACATTTTATAATCTTAAAGAATCTCTCTAACACCAGTAGTAGAATTACATTAGACCCAGACCTGTAATATGACAGAGATGTAGATGACCTGTATTTTAAGAGAGTTTCAATCATTAGTGATATCTTCATTTTAGCAATTAGGATTCCTTTGGCATTCCCTGAACAAATGCATCTGCGAACGTATCTGCAGATGTTTGAAACTCAACACTACAAACCCCCACAATTCTTTGGGAGCACAAACCAAAGTGTGCCATGGGACCTTCTTCCTATCACATCACAGATGCATACTTCTGTGTGTTATAAAACATGCAATTCCCTTTTTTCCCCCCCCAAAGAAGAACTGTGGATGAATTCTGACCTCTATACCTATAACAAACACAATTATGTGAATGTTAAGGGTGGACAACCTTGACTATTTCCCTATAATATTACTTCAGTTTATAGCACACACTTCCTTATAAATCAACTTCTAAAATCCTTGCCACTTACAATTACAGGATTCTATGTAGAAAGAAACTTTTCTCCAATTCCTATTATCAAACTGGGTCCAAAGACATTTGGATAGGACGATGTGACAAGGGCAAAGCAAGAACGAACCGAGGGCAAAAGACAAAGTTAGCTTGGGAGAAACATTCACAGGGTGGTTTTGCAACAGTACAAAAAAATTATCCCCTCTGAAATTATCTTTACCTGCTAATGTGAAGAGTAGACTTACCGCTGGCTTTTCTCATTGATGGTGTTAACTCCCTGAAGATCTGAAAGGGGTGTTCTTGGGCTTTTCCGAGTAATACCTATGGAAGCATATCAACAAGAGTTTTTACATCCCTCTTTACAAGGAGAAAATTAGAGCAGCAACAGCTTTTTGTTGGCTGCAAATGAAAAAGGACAATATGTATCTGTTGTGGCACATGCTGGGAATACAAAGTAAGGGGTTTATGAAGGAGCCATGGCTGCTGAAATATCAACTGACTACTAACGTCTATCATGTTCTTTGTCAAGGAGACATAACTTACTAGCAATTCTGTTCACTCTAGTCTGCCTCTTCCCCCAGCACCCGCCAATACGACACGTGAACAATTTGTCAATGGTGTACTTTCCACTATTAGAAAGCAAGGTGGGAGGAAAACTAACAATCAGTCATGACTGATATAAAGGTACAGTTCACCTGCTTCCTGTCAGTCAAAACACTTCAAAGCAGTAACATGAAAAATATAGAAAGATAATAGTCAATCACTCCATCAAGAAGGGAATTGGTTGGGATAGAGAGAGAGAAATAGCTAGATTACTACAATTACCAGTAATTGTTTCTTGTTGTATGTCACTGCTTGTTCCCCTTCCTAACAAATGAATATACACTGACATAGTAAGCAGTATGCTGTAGGGAATAATCTTATTTTCTGCCAAAACGGAACCCTCTGATACTTATAGGTTCAATTTTCAAGGCCTGATAAACGTGTGAGGAGAGTATGTTGTAGCAGCTTTCTAGATTTTAATGGCAGATGGTTCAACTGTGTCTGTCCAAGAAGTGGAAATGTTTTGGGTGCAAATGAAATTAACAGAAATAAAGGAAAGATATAACTGCTTGCAGGCAACGAAACGTATTTTTTATCCATCCAGCAACTGATATTTAGAGAATTTACAACCTTTTCATCTAATCATGAAAACAGGTAAGTAATTTCTTAGCTGTCTGAAATCTGTAGTGTGAACCAAGAAATTTTTTAGAATTCATGTAACATTCAGCAAGTGTGTATTCCTTTGCCCTGAATTCTCCAAAATGAGGGGGAGGGGAAACTCTATGAAAAAAAGGAAGCCTAAATTGTCTTTTGTAATAAAACACAGAAGGAAATGCAACACTACCTTCTCTAAAAAAAAAAGAGAGTTAGTCTGGGGTCAGTGGAATGAAGTCTCATACTCCCTGGCTGGCTGAGATAACATTCATACTAAATTTGTCTTCTTAAAAGGTGAGCATGTGGAAGGAATACTTACTTCTCCTATGAGAGAGAGGGGGAAACTTGTTAAAACCTGTAGCAGCACACCACATTTGAGGCCAGTTAGGGAAGCCTGTATAGCTTTTACTTTGGGCTTTGCAAAAGGAACACCTAAGTAACAAGCTCTGAGATCCTACCTCACAGATCCTGAGGGAGCCAGTACAGCTATGCTAAAAGAGTCCTGGAACCCTCTAGGGGCTCACTTGGAGGTTCTCGTTAAAGCCAACCCATAGAGATTTTAAAACGTGCTGACGTGTAACAATGTCCTCCTGTAGTCCTCTTGGAAAACATTTAAAAAAAAAAAACACAATCCAAATCTGATTGTGAGTCTTTTAAGTCGATAGCTTCCAACATTACTCAAAACAGGTCACAACCGCCCTGGTGCATCCCACTCTCAGACATGTTCAGCCTCTCAGTTTGAGGCTGTCAGAATTGGCAAAAGGGACTCTGATGGACAGATCCAGCCACTCTGGATACATGCAAAACTGTCCTACAGTTAGGTCTACAGGTTGAGAACAACAATCACTTCAGAAACTCATTTTTGTCTACTTCCATTAGAGTTTTCACAGAATCAAATGAATAAAAGGAAAAGGGAGATGACACTGTCCCCAAATTCCTTCCTCATGCCCCACAAAACATATCCTCTCTAAGGAGGAGAGAAAGGAGAGGAAGGAGAGACAGGTCTCCAGTCATGGTCAACAGCCTCCTGCTGAGCCTGAAAACATCTGCCCTTATTGTAACAGAACTTGTGGTTCAAGGAGTGGCCTTATTAGCCACCTGAGGACCCATAACTCCCATGGAAGATGACCATACTTGGTAACGAGTGATCGCCCATCATCATCCTCTCTAACTCCTCTTGGATTGAATGTCTGGAAGGAAAAGCATGAGAAAGAGACCTTCTGGGACAAAAGAAATTCCTATGATAAAATGAAGAGATCAGATAGGTTGTCAGGGGTGGCAGGTTTGTATAATTTTTGGTAGTGCCCAGAATGGGTCCAAGTCCCACCCTCCCACACACACCTGCCTTGTAAGCCTATATTTTTTTAAAATGTAAAAATGGACTGGAAACAGTAAGTGTTTACCAGTTTCCCTATATTGCACGTGTGTGTGTGTGCACGGGCGGAATGAGGGCTCTGGCTGGGGATGAGGGGGGGTTGGGGGTATGGGAGGGGCTCAGGGTTAGGTCAGAGGATTGGGGTGCATGGGTGAGAGTTGTGGCATGGGGTCGTGGATGAGGGGTTCACTGTGCAGGAGGGGGCTCATGGCTGGGGCAGAGGGTTGGGATGCAGGGGGAGTGTGTGAGGGCTGTGGCTGGAGGTGCAGGCTCTGGGGCGGGTCAGGGCTGTGGATAAGGAGTTTGGATTAGGGCCAGCAAGGGAGCGCAGCACGGAGCAGCAGGGCAGCCGTCAGCTGCCCAGGGTGCAGGCAGGGACGCGCCAGGGGAGACACGCAGGGGCGGCAGGAGGGACTGGGGGACGCTCTGGGGGAGGCACGCAGGTGGCAGGCAGGGGTGGGGGAGAGACCCAGCCTTGAACATTGGTGGAGCCGGGCCCCAGGCCCTGAATTTGCTGGAGCATGGGGGCACCACGGGCCCTTATAACTCGCCGCCCCTGTAGGGTGGTGCTGGTCAAAAGAAGAACTTCCACTTACAGCCAAAGGGGTCAGATCTGGGATGTTTGGAGGGCATTTTCAGGTCTCAGAAAGCTGCATATTGGCTTTCGTCAGATCTTCTCGAAAGAGTTTAATATCTGTGAAGAAGAGAGCGGCCAACTTGATTTTTACATGTGGTTTGGTATTCCATCACCAAAGACACTGATGCTGTCAATGCCATTTATTGTGCTGCAAATCAGGAACTATCACATGATGTCTCTCAAAGACAGGAAGTGAACTGGGTGGAGACTAAAAATGTGCAGATAAGTTAGATACTGACTTAGGTCAGTGGCTACCTATTTGGGAATCTTCTCAGATCTATGTTCTATGCCTGGACACAAAACCAGAATGTTTTTGCCTCTTAGATAGCTAAATCAGCCCTCGTTAGTGCAGCTTACGTGTAACCCAGGGAAACACAATAGCGTTCATAAGGAAGGCAAAGAGAAAACATGGATGGAAGTGTTAACTACGATGACTCACCTGAAGAGAAACAAGGTGGGTGAGGTAATAACCTTTATTGGACGAACTTCTGTGGGCTAGTCAATCTCCAAAGCAGGGGGAAATTGCAGTGAACTGGTTGATTGATGCGGAATGGATTCTCATATCGAGAACTCAGAGTCCAATAAATCATCTTGGGAGCTAAATTGAGATGCCTCAAGTAACATGGCTGGTGCAAGACAGCTGAAGGCTTAGGCAGGTTTTGGCTTGCAACTGTCTGGATGGTACCAGTGCAGAGGCTCTGATAAATCTCCGTAACAATGGAGATTCAGGTTAATCCAAAATGAGGAGATCCTCAGAAGACAAAAATCTGGAAGGAGCTAGAGGGCTCTAGTAGTTTATAGTCGAGGCTTGGGTTGGTACTGGAGGTGGAACTGTGGACTGGTGAGATGGAGACTACTGCAGTATGAGGTGGATGCAGAGTCCTGTCTTACTTCAGAGCTAGGGTAAGAAACCTGTACTGAGAGATGTATGCCGTGAGGAATCAGGTAGTGCTGCTGCAGTAGGTGTTCTGGAAAAGGGCTTATCAATACAAGACTCCTTACACGGTACCAATGCCTCAGTACCAGACTCAGTCAGAGCCTCTACGGTACCCTTTAAGGGATGTGAGGTCTCCCAAGAGTGGGTCTTATGGGGTGACCTACCCCTTTTCATCATTTCTCTGGTAGGGGAGGAATGCCTTCTTCTCTTTAACGTCTTTGTCTCCATGGGTGCAGATAGTGTTGGATGGGTGACTGAAGCAGCCTGCGATGTTGAGGCCAATGTACCGGTGGAGGGACAGGATGGGAAGTGGACCCTTCCAGAGCTAGAGCACATTCCATTAACAGGAGTTTTAGTCTAATGTCCCTATCTTCTCTGGACCTACCTTTAAACTACAGATAGACCTTACACTTTGAGGGGATGTGGGAGTCCCCCAAACACCACAGGCAACTTGAATGTCTGTCACTGTGGGGAAAAGACCTATGGCAAGTCTGGCAGGACTTAAACCCTGAGGTCTTAGGCAAAACAGATTGTGCTCGGGCACAAAGGTCAAGGAGTAGGGGGGAAGCCCCACTCCAGAAGCACAAAAATCATGCTAAATGAAATATAGTGAAAATAAAATAAAGGTAAAGTACATAATTGAGAAACTAAAAACTTTCACGAGGTGAAAGAAAGGTGGGAAGCTGAATACAGCTAACTGAAGAAGACTCCGTCCCAAGCCACAGGCGGCTGAAAAGGAACTAAGTGGCAGTAGGCTCATGCATCCCTATATCCACTTATTTGGAGCATGAAGTGTTACTCCGTGCAGGCGTGAGCCTGAAAGCATTACTTTGCAGTCTGTGATCGTTAGCGAATGGGCACACACACATCCCAGGTGGAGCACCCATAGGGGCGAATATTCAGGGGAAAAAGATATTACCTCACCCACCTTGTCACTCTCATACCCTGGGACCACACGGCTACAACACTGCAATCACCTGAAAAGATCGTTTCACTGCAGCTCTGGGAACAGTCAAATGCCAGCCCACTTTTTCCCCATTCCTTTTGGTCAAACCCAAGATGACAGAATGGAGGAGACATTTCTTATTTAGTGCACTCCCAAAAGCATTACCCTCAGTATGGCATTTAGATTCAGAAAGGTGAGGAGACAGGAGATTGGAGAATTCAGCTACTATGAGAGACAGGAAGTTACTCTCCGGTTCAGGGTCCCCCTTTTCAGAATTGAGGTCAATCTACAGCTACACAGCCTCCTTCCAGGGGGGGATTCCCCAGAGATAGAACTGGCTGTCCACTTCCTGTCTGAGATTGGAGGGCTTGGGCCCGGAGGTTGCTTTTTGGTAAATCTACTTGCAGTGGGGCTCCAAAGGGTTAAAGAACATGGACTGGAAGACAGAATGAACAGTTCTAGTTGTGCCAGGAAAAGCAAACTCTGCAGACTTCTCCCCATAAAGAAACATGAGAAAGAGAGTGGTTTCCAGGGCAAGGAAGGTCCAGCTCCATTCCCTTAGAGCAGGAATCAGAGATGCAGTATTCTCCGGCAGCGCTCCAGCAGGCCTTAGATTCACAAATTCCTGCCTACAGGACCCCATCTTGCTCCAGCCAGACGAAGTGCAAGGGCTTAAATTGCAACTGTTATCAGTAGTGATATGTGGAATAAGCCTCTTCAGCACAAGGCAAAGAAAACACGTCACACTGTAGCTCGTCTTGCTGTGAAATGGACAGGGGGTGGAAAGCAAGGATAGATCAGCATCGGAGAACTGCAACTTTGCAGGGATGTACAGCAACAGCAACTTCCTCCTGAGAAATGGAGCTCTGGTTCTGGCTTCCAGAGCAAACCCAAGATCTGAGATGTGAGAGGCAGGCAAAGGGGAGGGAATACTGCTAGAGGCCTTCAAACACACACACCAACATCTGGGACACAGAGCCTTCCTCGACTTTTCTTCTTCTCTCTTGAGGTTCTTACTTTCTTCTCGCTTCTGCAGAGAAGGGCTGGAACAGACAGAGCTGGAAGACAACTCAGGCATCTGTGCCATGCTTCCAGTATGAAATTATAGGAGACATGGGAAATGGGTGGACTGGTGCTTTTATAATAGAACATGATTCACAGGTCTTTTTCTCTCCCAGATCCCTGCTGCATGACTGAATCCTATTGTCCAACAAGGTGTTCACATGTAGGATACTGGAAAAAGTGATGCAACACAAACAGCCTTTTAAATCAATTATGAGTGCACCTCACCCTTTTCTTGTAGTATCTTTACTGTATGTTGGCCATTGATTGCAACACGTTCTTAAATCTCCAAAGATGTTTACAGATTTACTATGATTTTACACTGTCCAAAACTGACAAGGAACTACCAATAAAACTGCCCAGTAGATGGAAATTTGCCTAAGGACAGTGTCAACCCTGCAGGACAGCAGGCTGCGTATGTTACCATGTTTACAGTACTGAAGGCCCATAGATCAACTTTAAATTATTTATTTACTTTATTAATTAAGCGGATAATATCTTGATGTCCACTGACTGGGTTCTCACTTGATGTATGGTATAAATGTCTTGATTTTTCCCCATAAACATATGGAGAAAATCTTTAATCTATTATATTCCATTTTGGTTGGAATCTTTCATAACCAGTGGGTCTCTTTTGAACAGTGACCTTTCATTGGAATACTGATTTTGGTTTTTTTAGTGACTTGTTTATCCTATGACTGCAGCATGAACTTAAAACGAGAATGATAAGATTACAATTACCAGAAATGTAATATCCACAGGAGTGGAATATTTTATGAGATGCTGAAATTATGAAGATAAGATTGTACCAAAATACTGCTGTAGCTTGGTCTTACATAAATCAGGAAAAGAAAAATTTTTATTCGAGGATCAACTTAAAACTACACTGGAGCTTATATAATAGGTGTCTAGTCAGTGTCATGTACTCCAGGCAGTCTATTAATCCAAAGATTTGTCACTTGCAATTGTAAAAATAAATTACATATGAGATGAGTGCAAGCTGAATTAAGAAATGACTGCTGCAGTAATTCATTAAAAACTTGTCCACATATTACCAGATGAAGAGCAAATGCTTAAAGAGCTCTACATCCCCTCAAAATACTAGGTAAAGCTGTAGTCTTAGTGCAGTGCTGTTTCTACTGTGCGAGGAACAGAGAGGCTTTTGGGAACAAAGGATAGTTATTTTTAATTTAACCCATTGATTTGCTTGTGCTCCCCTCCACCTGCCACCAAATACTCTGACCAAGGAAAATTTATTCATGAATTGTATAAACAATTACTCTCCAAACAAAGGATCAGGAACTTGGATGCTTCTCCATTCACAGGGCAGATGCAGATTGAACAGCTAACCTAAACTGTGGTCATAAATATGACTCTATTCTCTAAAACTCACTTCCCTCCTACTTCAACGCTAGTCCTTTCAAGGGGTGGATGGATTTGTCTAATTGGTCTTTTCTATGTCTAATGTCTATATTTTTATGCTTTTGGGAAGAATTGTGGACAATATACTTTCTATCCATTATATAGGAACATTAACCAACAGAGCTCCTGCCTTTGACTCAGAGACAGCTAAGCACAGTGCATGTCACACTGTGCAACAATTTTTGTTTCATAATTCCCTTCAAAACAGAGCATGAAGCCCTATTCTTCTTTGGGATTAACTTGTTAAGACATTGAAGCATCCCTGCTTTCCTGTTATGGAATACTGACAAATCAACAGAAATGTACTAGGTATAATCACTGAAGTGATTAAGTAACCAATGAAAAGGTGACCATTAGTAACTTGGCCAAATAGCTAGAACAGTAAGTGATATTACCACCCTAGGGGAATTTGGATTCACTAACTAATCCACTGGTTAAATAACTTTTTTAATTTACACTTGTGATTGGAACTGATGCTTACAATTCAAAACAAAGACGTTTCTACCAATCAATTTTTCAGAAATCGAGAGGATGTAACTTTATTTAACTTCCAGGAAAAGCCAAGTCCAAGTAGTACCACTGGTGAGCATAGAGGCTCTTCTAAAACTTGGGAATACATGCCTCAAGGCTAGCAACTGAATGAATCCAGCAAAATCTAACTCCCAAGCATCAAATAATTAAATGGGTTTGGACTCTACCTATTTTAAAGAAAAAGTTCTAGGAACTGACCAATGGCAGCACACACTGTATAGGGATATGCAAGAGACCCAAATACAGAAGCAGCTAATCTGCATGAACTACTTATTTGCCAGAACATTTGCTCTTGGCCAAGTGACAAAACATCAGGAACTGTAACAGAGATCACATGTTCCACCTTCTCAACCAAAGATGGATTTCTTACAGGGAAAAGGATTACAAGGCTTCGCCAGTGGCAAGAATGAATTTAAGTTTAACACTGTTGGGCTTGACCATAATAAACTTGCATCATATTATTTTTACACTGAATTATAGGTCATAGTTAAAAAATATTCTGTGCTGTATGGGTTTTTCCCCGTTTTTTAACAAACCATAAACAACCTGCTCATATAGCTAAACTAACTTGCAAATCTTAAACTGGATTCCAATTGCTTTACTTACACTAGAAATAAACTATTGAGAGCTATGTAATTATCTATAAGTGTTACTTAGAAGTATATTTATTGACTGTGAAATTCTAGAGGCTATGTCTACATTAGACTTTTTCTTAAGATTTCCCATTGGTGGTGGAAAATTAAGGAAAATAGTCTAGTGTAGACAAGGCCTATGTTAAGAATGAAAACCCTTCCTTAACTTTCCCAGTGCTAGACATTGCAGGGAGCACATGGAAGAAGTCTGTTTAGAGACTTCTAAAGTCAAGCACATCTTTCTGAAGTGCTAACACAAAAGTACTGTACTTACCATGCATATTTCTACAATGTGGAAACAAGCCTTTTGACGTTCTGTTTAGGCACATCTTACAGGCATTTTAAAGTCTACGTTTTAGATGGAAAGTGTGCCTTTATTAAGACTTGTTTACAGTAATGCTTCATCTCTGTAAACTTTATTTATACAAAATGAAGAAGCAACACGATGGCACAAGAGTTAAGCCTTCTGTAAATACAGACACCAAAAATATTTAATTGTTTTAATTCACCTTTAAAGCTTGATCACCTCTCCACAGGAAACAAGGCAAATCTTGACATTACACTATTGCATGTTCCTTTTTTGAAGCGCTTGCAACTGAATGTGCAGCTGAACTTTAAAGTGAAATGATATACAGCGCAGTTTAAAGAGTGAACTAGTATTGTGGCATCTTGCGGCAGGCCCTTTACATTGTTATAACACTGAATCTCCATGCGCTATTCTTTGTGGCAGGTGATGTTATGTTCCATGCTGCTGGACTCCCTTCTCCTCCTACAATAGGAGTCCAGCCATAGTAATTAGTAGTACAGGCAGAAAGGCCTGTTTGTTCATGCAGGACTAGTTTATTATGTAACAAACAGAGGAGTAAGGACAAGGAAATGGAGACCAAGCGCATCTCTGCCCACCCGTTCTGTAAAGGGGTCTTCTAGCATAACAATTCCTCATATTTAAATGAAAGCCTTTGAAACAACATAGGCACTTTCTCCAAACACAGTTATTTTTAAAGTATGACATATAAATAAAGCTGTAATAAAAAAAGAAAGGGACTGAATCCTGAAGAAAGCTTGAAGTAAAATCCTAGCTATATTAACTCACACTAGAAATATTCCTACTGGTTCTGAAGTGCTCTAAACTTGCTTTAGGTATGATAGTAGTAACACTAAAAATTAATGGCATGAAAAGTGTTACTAACTTCAGAATACTGTCTTATTTAGGAGAGCATCCTGTGAAGCCATTAGTAAAATGGTTCCATGTATAATTAAACAAGCATGGACATATACTGGATTTTTTTTTTTTTTTTTTTACAACTCGTTAACAAGAATAGGCCATCCAGCGAGTCTATTCCAGATCTCTGTAGAACAAAACCCTAGCTAAGAATTTCTAGTGGGAAAAGGCTAAAATCCTTTCCTTAAGGTTTCCTGCAATTGATTATGATGCTCTCACTGGGCTGCACTGGAAGTTTCTTTGCATGTTTCTTTCCCCCCTTGCTACCCAGAATGCTCCTGGTTTCCATTTCCTGATGTGTGAGTGTCATGTCAGAGAGGATGGTGGGATATGGAGCCTTACTGTACTTCTCCTCCTTGCATCTCTGCAGGATCTCTAAGCTCCTCTGATGGACTGGGTGATGTAGAAAGCTAAAACTATCCACACTTTTCAAAACCGCACATGGCACTGCATCATCATGCCCTTGGGAAGCAAAATAAAAACAAAAAATGGAGAGAAGAGAAAGATTATATAAGCAGAAATCAGGAAAGAGTAAAGAACAATGCTGCCAACTGCCCATGTAATACAAGAATTGTTCAAAAGTCGCACTTTCTGTTTATGGACCATAACTAGGCTATTTGCAGCAGTTATGAAAATGCATAGCACTGACACAGGTTAACTTCAGTTCCCTCACGACAAGCTATCATGACACATCACACACAGTCATGGACATAATTATCTCAATCCAGAGTCCAAGGACACTGCAAATGTACTTAACCACATCTCTGCAGGCATCCACTCACAGTTACACATTTCCTTACACTCTGACTGAGGGGGGTCTGATTTGCATGGTGACTATAGGGTTATTTCTTGTGAACTGAATAGTATATAAATTCCAGCACTTTGATTGGCCCAGAGCACAATCATCTGGATAATCACTGCAAGGTAACCTTTAAAAAGTAGTGATTATGCAAATCTCTACTTTTATTAGCTACAGTACGATAAATCCTTCTGCTTCAGTTCAGCCGAGGTTGGCTACTGATTTCAGAACTCCTCACCCATATGTTCACAAGCACAGCCACCTCAAATTCTGACCTGCTCCACACACTGTTACCCCTATTTTATCCAGATATTTGCAATTTAAATTGAAACAGGAGTTACTCTACATAGGGAAGAGGAGAGGAGGTACGCTTAGCCTTCCTTAGGGCTGAGAAATGGGGAGATTTCAGACACACTGAGTTTAGCTGACAGACAGAATCTGGGAGTTGGTGTCAGAAGTTACGGTGGACATCTATGTGTGGGCATACAGGATAATTCTCTGATAATTTCATAATAAATGTAACTTGGAATAAAAGTTATACAGGTATTACGTTGTAAATAGGAAGCTCCTTCCAGTTACCATCTAAAAGGGAATTACTGTGGGACATGTCATGCTTCATTTGAGGAGTAATGAGGCACTGAAGTTACCTTATGTCAGCATGATATATTATGCCTAGCATTCAAGACTGATGCTTTAAACTATCAGCAAAGACTGATCTGAACACTTTAGAGGAACACTGTCAACTATTGTTTTTCTAATGTTAGTAACACCATTTTTGTACTGCCCATTTGGAAACCTGAAGACCAATTTTTTTTTTTTAACCACCATTTTTGCCTTTTTCTATTCAGCAAACATTCGTTTTCTTCTTTTTTGGTTTATAACATTGCTAATTCAACAAAAGTCAGCATGGCTTTCTTTTGCTTGCTTCACTGCTTGCAAACCAGCATCATCATTTATGTCAGCAGCAATGGGCACAGCACTGGGAATAGTGCTTGTTAGTTGAATGCTATTGCAGAGCCATCAGAGGAATCATGAGAGCATAAAGTCAGAAACATAAATCCTTTATCAGAGCTAGGATCTATGTTCACATCCAACATACTCAAAACAGAGAAAACCAAAGAGGAAGCTGTGGATGACTGGCTTCCATCACTGGATTTGTGTAAGTCATCTCAAAACAGAGACTTTTCTTTTTAAATTTGTCAGCAACGAGGCATTCATTATTATGTTTTATGTGGAATAAATTAATCTAGAGCAGTGGTTCTCAACCTATTTATCATTGTGGGCCGCATCCAATACTCCTTCTGTGGCCCTGAGGATGTCACATGGGCCACAGCTGTGTGCTGATTGGGCCACAAGTGGTCCACGGGCCGCGGGTTGAGAACCACTGATCTAGAGGATATTTGCCATCAGATTACAAAAAAAATCAGGCAAATTTACTTCCTAAAAACTTGACAATGTGCCTTTAATCAAGTTCATTTTGATTCAAGAAAATCAAACCCAAATGTGAGCTTTTCTTTTAGAATTTAACTTCAGTTTCTTGTTATCCCACTGAGAAAGCTCAATTATAAAACAAGCAATTCAAAGAGCTCCCCCCTCAACTACTGATATTTTACCCAGTCTGATCTCTCAGTTTTTAATTTGAAAAGAGTTGGCAGCACTGTAAGAAACACCTCTTGGGCCAGAAGAGAAACATATCCAACAAAATTCAGACATTTACATTGCTCTGCTTCTACATATCTCACAGTTATAAACACAACATCACTAAAAGCTACACTACAAGAATATAACAAGTGCAGTAAGAAAAGAAAAGCTCCTAAAGGTAGCAGTGAAGAGTATATTCATTTATCCAACACTAATTCTATTGAAAGCAGAGCACAGAAATGTTCACACTGCTTCAGGACACTAATGGCACAAAGAAAGAAAGATATAGAATGAAGGAAAGAAAAAAACAAACTGGGTTTTGGAAAGCCTACTGCACATAGGATTGAGATTTTTGTATGGCTAGCATAACTCAAATAGGCCTTCAGACAGGGAAAAGGAAAGCATATAGACTTTTGGCCTAAAAACACTGAAAAAAAAATAAGCTCCAAAGAAAATATGCAGCTTTTTTAGACATCCTTTAAAACTGCTTTGCAACTGTACCTTCTGATCAATCACAGCTAGGTCAGATAGGGCTACCAGGGAGTTTATAAGGCCTTGTCTACACTAAAGGGAAAAGTCAATCTAAGCTACACAATTTGAGTTACGTGAATAGCGTAACTCAAATCGACATAGCTTAGATCTACTTACCGCAGGATCCACACTACGTGACATCGACGGGAGCCGCTCTTCCGTCGACTCCCCTTACTCTTCTCCATCAGGTGGAGTACTGGAGTCAGAAAGAGAGCCATCAGCGGTCGATTTAGCGGACTTGCTAAATCGACCGCTGATGCATCAATCGCCACAGCGTCAATCCTCCGGTAACTGTAGACAACTCCTAAGACACCCTAAGGCTTTTCTTAACAATGTTTAAAACTGAGCAGTATGTGTGCTAGTGTGGGGGTGTTATTAGGTATTAATATATGTGTGTGTGGGGGTGGGGGCATTAGCAAATCTTTATTGTATCATGAGTTCCAACTCTGGCTGCACCAGATGCATTCAGCTCATGCTAATTAAAACCTAGAAAGGTTTGGTTAAAAAAACCCAACACATATGCAATCCTTAGAAATATGTGCTATTTTATAGAATGACAATCAAGATAGGTAAACTTTAGGGCCTAAAATTTGAGTGGCTCCTTGAACAATTCTCAGAGAATAGTTGCTGTAGGTATACCTCTACCTCGATATAACGCAACCCGATATAACACGAATTCGGATATAACGCGGTAAAGCAGTGCTCCGGGGGGGTGGGGCTGCGCACTCCGGCGGATCAAAGCAAGTTCGATATAACGCGGTTTCACCTATAATGCAGTAAGATTTTTTGGCTCCCGAGGACAGTGTTATATCGGGGTAGAGGTGTATGTTCATTAGATTATCAGATTTGTGAGCAGTCGATAGGCACCAGCATCCGCTAATCAAGTATGCCTCAGAACAAAGTTCTCAGTCTTCTGGGGACTAATGTACAAAACTAAGGTATCAAATATATAAGCCAGTACCCCATGCCAGACATTTAGTTATACCTGTTCTAACACACAATGCCATTTGGGATACTTTTTTGAGACACCGACTGGGTTATGGAGAAGTTCACGCCAAACTGTAGCTAGAGTTTGATAATTGAATGGGAGGTGGGCACAGGGCATCATCATTAAGGAAGAAAGAGAAATCTAGAGTGCTAGTTACAAAAGATTCCAATATCCGTACCATCATGTAAATCAGTCCTTAGGGACCAACACTAGTGTGTTCTCAAGGTGGCAGACACAAAGCTTATCTAGTCTATCATTCTAAGGATGTTAAGTGGCCACCATAACAGAGACACATGCCACTGACATGCTCTATACTGGAATAATTTTTAAAAGTTAATTTTTAAAAAAGAGAAAAACATAACTTTGTTTTTAGAAAAGAAAACTTCTATGTATAAAAGTATTCTTGGCAAAGGGAGATTTACTTCACATATGGAGGGAAAGACATTAATTAGCTCCTAGTGTTAGCAATTATAACAATGGGCACAAGGATACTAGGCAACCACTCCCTCCCCAGGAAAGAACATTGACACTACAGTTTAACTGTAGGGTCTAGCATCACTTCATATTAGGACAATGCCTATAGGCCCCAGCTGAGATCAGGGTCCCATAACATGCTGTACCTATTAGCAATATATTTTTCTATTAGCAATAGTTACATACCTAAATAATGTAACTCCAAAAAAATGGATAAAAATGTAAAATGCACTAGCCCACATTATCATTTATTCTTCATACTAACTATCTATGCAATATAAACTGAATGACTGGTGCTGCTTCTGCTGCCATGTGAAAGTTCTTTGCTACCCTATGTAATAAGTGATAGCAATGCTAGTGTATACTGGATAACTTATTGACTACATATGTATGATAAGATAACTGATCGTGACATTTCCTCCACACAGATGCTTTAAACCGCATCTTACTGTTAATACTGGAAATAATTTGGATTTAGGTGAACTCTTTCTTTAGTTCTGCTTTCTTAAAGTTGGCACGTTTGTCATCATTATTTCTCAAACTACTTCAGTCATTATTTGATAACATTTTTAAAACGTGTCCCTTGGAAAAATTAAGATGCAAATGATTTTGGGCAGTCAAGGAGTTTAAGGCTTACACTGTCTTCTTGATATCAATGGAATTATTTTATCTGAAGAATAAATGTTACAAGGGACAAAACAAAATGGAGTGAGACATTTTTGAGTGGTCACGCAAAGGGCACAGGACGGATTGGACTATAGGACTGTATCCTGAAAGAGGTTAAGAAGCTGTTTCAACTGAAACCATATACTAATTAGTCCTGACATAAGAAAAAAAAATCCCAGAATTGTCTGAAAACCTCACCGATTTTCTTTGATATGTCTAATTTTAGTCAGTTGCTGATCCAATCTAAAAAGTGAGAAATCAGAAAGCTAACTGCTAGGGACACTAACATGGCAGATGTGACTACAGAAGACAGAGGGTGAAGCAGGGCTTGAAATTAGCAGGGCAGGGTTGGCAATAGCTCTTGCTGCCAGCGAGATAGCATTTTTATTATTTTTCTTCCTTGGAGAGCACTCTATAGCTCAGCCAGCTATCCAGCTGGGATTCGTGAATCAGCAAGATTTAAAAAAGAAACAACAAAGCACACCCCACAACATATGAGGGAAAGGCAGGAACATCTCTTCAAAGAACTAGATTTCTAGGGATTTTTCCCCCCCCCTCCCCTAGGCAGAAGGTCTCAAGAAAACTGCAACTCTCATGCAATGCGTGATGGGAGCTTTACAAGTGAAACTTCTCTCCCCTCTACCTCCCAGCATTACAATGGTCATCATAGAACTTTCACAATCTCAACCTTGTACTGATATATAAGAAAAGTCTCAGGTTCATTTGTCAAAAGTGTCTTTCCAATTATTCTGTCTAGGGCTGGCTTTTTCTCACTCTTCTGAACAGCTGAAGGCTGGTTTTGTTTCTTGTTATTCTTGGGATTTGACCCAAGGGTCTGATGTTATTCTTACTAAGCAGAGAAACTTATTCTAAATGGGTGTATTTTCATAATTATATGATTTTTCCTTGATTCGTTCACTCTATTAATGCAAATCTATTAACATTTCAAGCTAGAAATCAACAGAATGATTCTATGCTTAATTTTAACTTTGTACTGACATTTCCCTGCTGATGTTCTAGCTTTGTTGTGAATTTCAAGCCCTCTTGTGCCCAGAAATTAATAGTAATAGCTTGTACCTGCCGTTCAGGAATAGCTTTATGCAGAGAAATGTTCTACAAGCACAGCCAAGTATTGCCTGCCACAGCATGATGATGCACCATTACTTTCATTTAATTTATGGCCCTCCCTGTTCTGCATGAGGGAGGGTAGGTCGTTCTAGCTGACCGCACAGCTATGAATTTGTGCTAGACAGGAGAACAATCTCTCTTTCAGCTTAAAGGGTGAACAGTCTGAAAAATTACAGAGCAGAGTCTTATTTTCTGTGTTTTCAGACTTTATGTTAACAGTGAAAGAAATATGAGTTAAAGAATCAAAATATTCCCTTTTTTGCTTCATAATTTTAAGCTTCCATTTAAATCATGCACATTTCCTTAAGAATGAATCCTACAGAAAAGGTAAAATAACATCAGAATGAAAATCCTTCATCATAAATTGCTAAGGCTCCATTGCATTTGTTATTCAACATGTGAAGTACCACACTTTTCTTTACTCAGAAATCTAGCCATTCAATTCACCCGTTTTTGGACACATTATTAGGAAGAGGAGCATATGTGTAAATTAGATACGATAACATTTTAATCATACTAAAATCAGATATCAGGGACATATTGTGTATGTATTATATATAGTTAAGATTCAAAGATGTACAGAGGTGGGATGCCAATATCTGTTACTCACCAGTTTTCTTCTCAGTGTATCGTTTTCCCGCCTCCCTAAAACCAACCATAGCCCTGAAAAAAGCTCTGAGGACTGCCCAGCGGAACACAGCCACTGGATCAATTCCTATCATTCCACAGATAAAGGCGTTCTTGCTGCTTCTTAGGAGAGCTACAATGTCTGGCCGCATATGATCTGTGTTTTTCTCCCGGAAATCCTAGCGAAAAAGAAAAAAGAAGGGCTTGACTATTCTTGTAATATGACAACTTTTTATTTATACTGTCCTCGCTGTTCTTCTGCATGTGATAGCTTTCAAAAGCAAGATAATTTAATGAAAATTCTCAGTCCAACACACTTCTAATAAAACAGACATTTTAAATGCTGGTGCTTGACTCCACAAACTTAATACTCTTTTAATGTGATTTTTTGGTACATAGTTAAACACTATAGCACCTACGTAGTCTCCCACACGAGCTGGGCCAGATGCCAAACAGCTGTCAGGAGGACCTGGACCAATACTTTTAGTGACATGAATGTCAATGGGGTCAAGTTTAAAATAATTAGCATGAGATTTTTTAAACATGCCTCAGGGAGCTGGACTCCTAACTCCCTTAGACACCTGCGAAAATCCCAGTCGTAGTTATTTAATAGTAAAATGGCTAAAGGCAAAGAAAATGCATTTGGTCTTGTATTGCTAGTATATTAGCCATAAACAATATACTGTCTGTAATCTGGAGAAACCACGACCCCCAAACCCTGGTGATGCCATGCAAATCCAAGTTAATTCTACACACAGGCACTCAGTTTGCATGGAGTTTGTGTCAGTTAACTAAGTTTACAGGGCATTTCTCCAGAAGAATAATTATTTTAACTTGGCAGCTATCAATTTAGAGCTTTAGACAAGGAACTTGGACAGGAAGTTGCAACAAGAAACATATTGCAAATTGTATCTTTTGGTGCTTCAAAGGCTGTCTGTGGGTATGTCTGCACTATACAATAAGCTCAGGTCTGTGGGATCTGGGCTTGTGGACTCAGTGTATCCAAGCCCATGCTTCGGCGTCCACACTGCACTGTATACCTGGGTTTCTTTGCAAGAATTCAAAGGAATTTCCCTTGCAGTGCCATAATACTGTTAGACAACTTTGGATATTATCATCTATTCCAGCTGGGGGGCTAGTGAACAGGTTATCAGTTACTAAGGGGGGAGGGATCTTGGCTAGTTAGGATGAGAGTCCCAGTATGGAAAAGGTTTAGAACTGCTGATGTATGTGATGCTAAGCAAGGTGGGCACCATACAGAAAAATACAAATCCCAGTTATTCTCCCAAAGAATTTATAATCTACGGCCCCAAATCTGTGAAGATTTATGCACCTGCTTAGTTTTATGCACTGAGTAATCCTGTTGAATGTGCAATCTTAGGCCCCAATGAAATATATAGTGTGTACAGCTAAGCATGTATGTAAGTCCTTGCACGTTTGGAGTGGAAAGCTACGCACGACACAAAATGGAAGACAACCAAGAGTATGGGTGGGAAGAAGCAGTACAAGGAGGGCGACCATACAGAAAGAAGGTGTGGCTGCTCTGTTGGGCTATGCTTATGTTTAAAAGGTTCTGATTATTGTCATTTTAAATTTATTAAAAACATTGTTTGAAACTTTACACTTCCATCCACAATAAACTGTATAAATCCTTTGCCCCCTGTGATGCTGGCAGACCAGGTGCCAGCTCATGCCAAGGCCCCAGGCCTCACTGAACACTGACAAAATGCACAGCTGGAAACCAGTCTGGCTCACCTGTATGTTAGTATTGTTGAGCTAGATATTAGAGTTGTAAGAATGTGTTTGGTGTTTAGACTTTATGAATAATTTGTAGGATTCTGCATGCATTAGTCTCCCTTATCTGTACCCCATGTTATAAGGCAATAGCAAATGTTTCCATCGTAAACCTCCGTAACCATTCATCAAACAGGAAAGAAGCCTTCTCTAATTCAAATGCTGGCTTCCTACAGAAGATGTTGGGTCCTGCCTAACGACAAAATCTTTGAAACCAAATGAGCCATGGTGAGACATTAAAAGAACAAAGACTTCGTTAACTGAACTCTTCACCCCCTCCAGGAAGAAGAGAGCCTGCACACTCCTCCCATCAGCTTGGGCTCTAGGGAGAAGGGCATAAAAATCCCTGACAAGGAGAAACTGGGTTCTTCTTGCTGCTTGGACTCTAAAGGGGCCAGAATCACTAGGCATAAGCAAAAGCCTGCCCTCCCACTCCCTAGCTGTTTTGCCTGGGTTAGCCCTACAGGACATATGGAGTTTGCTTATTACTGAAGTTTCTATTATCTTTTTGAATCTAAGGCTGAAACTCATTTGTGGGTATTACCCACTTTAAGCTCATAAAGAACTCTTATTTCCTTTTCCTAGTTAATAAATCGTTAGCTAGTTTATTAAAGGACTGGCTACAAGTGTTGTCTCCAGTGAGAGATCAAGGGTACAATGAGGGTTGCCAATTTTGGTTGGATGTATTCCTGGAGGTTTAATCACATGAAAATCTTTAATTAAAGATTAATCTTCAATTCCTGGAGACTCCAGGACAATCCTGGAGGGTTGGCAACCCTAGGTACAATTGACCTGGGGCAAGTGACTAGTCCTTTGGGACTGGGAGTAACCTGAATGTTGTGATTTTTGGTGTAAGGGACCATCTAATCACAGAGGCAGGCTTGCCTGGTGGTGGTAAGGTTAGACCAGAAAGCCCTAGCCTAGGGGACTGTCTGCGATTCCATGGCAAGGCTGTCTGAGGAGTTCACGCTTGTTACTTGGTTGGTGAAATCTAATTATAGAACTCACAACCAATTTGGGGTTTGTGCCTTATTTCCTGACAGTCTGCCTTGAAGTTGGCACCCATGCTTGGGAGCCACTCCAGACAGCCTGACATTCCCTATTTGTGCCTACCTCCTTCACACCGACACCTAGTTCAGCAACGTGCCGTGGTTTTACATTCAGAACACTGCTGCTATACAAAAAATCTTATCTGAACTCTAGCAGACAATAAATCGGAGTTAATTTTTACTCATCCACGCTGCAGTCTTGGGTAACGGGTACCCAGTCATAGCTAGAATGCATTTTAACTGACATAAGTGCTAGTGAACAGCTGTTGTGACTGACCTTCACTCCGTATTTCACTTTTCCAGCATAGTGGTTTATGATAAAAGCAGGCTCCATCACGGCTGGAAATTCAATGTAAGAATTCCCCTCATGCTGACGCTTAAACTTGTCCAGTAGTGTTTGGTTTGTGGCTTGTGGAAAACTGGATAAAAGGGGGAAAAAATGAAGGCAGCTGTGAAGTCAAAGAAAAAAACAACACACCCTTGTTGACAGACCATAAATTGTAATAGGGAACATTCTGCTTTTCTCTTTTCTGTGCTGACAGATATTATACCCAGTACTGAGCTGCATTTGGCAACATATGTATGCTAACATACACCTTTATTTAAATACATACTATATACATTTGATGAAGCTTCCAAATGCAGATATCTAGTACAGCTAACTGGGTCTAGAATGAATCAATTGCAAAAGTGTAGTCATGCACATAACTATTTGTAATAATATATTCATAGTAGCATGATTATTTAGATACCTACAGTTATCTAGAGGTCAGATATATTTGTCTTCAGCCTTGTGACTCAAAATGCACAGCACACGAGTATATGGCATATTCACCCATCTAGAAATGGGCTATTTTAGCTGCATACATAACTTCAATATTTAAGCTTTTTTACAGGTCTCAGTAAGAGGGCATTTTAAAAAAAGTTCACAGAGGTGTGTAAATAAAATCACAGGGCCCAATTTCACCCCACACCAGTTCTACACCAATATTATTGATTTCAGTGAAGTTACTCCTGATGTACACTAGTATAAATGGACAGAAGAATCAAGCCCATGGCTTTTTCACAGCAAAATGTCAATTCACTGCAACTTGAACTTTGTGTATTAATTGCTTGCAGTTGAAAGGGCCTTTGTCCATATTTTAAAGCTTTATCAAAAACTGAATTAAAATTCTATCTTTTAAAAAAATAAAATTCAAATTAATCTGTGGTTAAAAAAATACTGCCCTGGACTGCTCTCCTCCATATCTCTGTATGGGGGAACCCTCAGCAGGCAGATCTTTCACTTCTTACATGGAGGGAATCATGTGTCTTTGTGGTACTGTCTTCGCAACTTTCTGGGGCCTCTGGCGGTGCTCTGTGGGTCTGGGGTTCCATTGTGAGACAGGCTGCGGAGCCTCGTCAGGCTGGGAAATCCTTCATCCCCTCTGAGGCTCTGGAGAAAGTCCTTGGAAAAGTTAATACAAGCCTACTGCTGTATTCACTTTTACTGCAGGACTCCCTAAGGTCACTGGGAAAAGAGGGTTGGGGGAGGTCCTTGAAAGCACAGATGCAATGGAGCTGCACTGCCCTGGTACTGGGGGGCCCACTGTAGGTCACTAGGGAGCCACCAGGTTTAAGAGCAGGCTTGTGGTTTATTCTAGAGAAGGGAATAAACCCTCCCCACCTGCCACCAACAGAATTACTAAGGAGGAACTTTGCCAGTGGATCCTACTGGAGACTTCTTGCCCATGAGCCTAGAAAATTACATTCAGAGGATTTAGGCCAAAATTCCCACAAGTCTGAGAGTTTGTATACCTGGGAAGTTGAGCCAAATTAACTAATGGCTGGTCTACACTGAAAAGTTACATCGGAATAGCTACGTCTCTCAGGGGTGTGGACACCTCTGAAAGATGTCACTAAGCCAACCTAACCACCAGCATAGACAGCGCTAAATCGATAGAAGAATTCTTCTAGATATTGCCTCTTGGGGAGGCGGATTAACGACAGCGATGGGAGAACCCCTCCTGTGGCTGTAGCAGGTGTCTACACTGAAGCTCCGCAGGTGTGCCACTGTAGCAGTTTAAGTATAGACCGAGCCAAAGGGTATGCATTTATTGAGCATTAATTAAAACACATTATATCCCTGTGTAGATGCTCTCATTCAAAAGTAAAGGGCCTTAGTTTGCTACAGACTAAGGCCAGATCTGCTCTAAAAAGTTAAGTTGACCCAGCTATCGTCGCTCAGGGGGGTGAAAAATCCACACTCCCATGCAACGCAGTTAAGCCAACCTAACACCCATGTAGACTGCACTAGGTTGATGGAGTAATTTGTCTGTTGACCTAGCTACTGCCTCTCGGGGAGATGGATTAACTACAGTGATGAGAGAATGCTGCAGCTGTGCTGCTGTAGCAGTTTAAATGTAGACATAGCCTAATTCACTTTAGAAGCAAACCAAGGCCACTTTACTTCTGAATGAGCACATCCACACAGGCAGTTAATGCACTTTAACTAATATTCCATAAATTCACACCTTTAGTTAATTCACCTTAACTTTCCTACATGTCACTGTGTAGACATGCCCTGAGACACAGACCTGGAAGAAAGAACAGAACCAAAGTAAAGGTAACCTTAGCTGTTCTTCCCTATGATGGGGAGACTCTTGATAAGTAACATTTTTAGTTCATAGTTTAAATTTTTTTAAAAAACGTTCTCCACTGTTTGCATTACCCTGTTAGATGCAAGCACTTAGATTAAAAAACAATTAGGAGGGCACTGAAATCATAAATAAGTAGAAATAGCGATTAGTGCGTTAGGTGTCTTTTTGGCAAACATTACCAAGAAAGAGAAGACTTCAGCGTAAATAATTGTGTGACTGCACTCTAAGCAAATACTGAAGAAAAGAATTTCCAACATTTCCCTTTAACAATACTAGATGAGGTAAGAAGGAGAGATCTCTCTCTCTCTCAACTTTCCTCCATGGCAACCTGAGGAAAAGTTCTGTGTAGCTCAAAAGCTTGTAGCTTCCACCAACAGTAACCTTGCAGATTGTTTTCTTCTTTTGCCTGGTGCACACATAATTTGGGTAAGGCAGTGTGAGCCTTTGGAGTTTGGTGAACACATGACCGCAGTCAGTCATTGAGACTTTCAGAAATAGTTCATACTCACTTGCTTTCCTCATCCAGCAGGTGGAGCAGTCCTGTTGGTTTCTTGCTGATAAGATTTATACAGCCAGAGTTATCTATATAGTCTATGTTGTGCCAGCTGATGCCTTCTGCTCTGTACTCCTCCTGGGGAAAAATAAAAGGCAATAAGAACAGATCAATTGATTAAAATAAAGTTGGGTTCTGAGCTTACAAAACTCAGAAGTTCTCCTTTTCAAAAGAACAGAGAAAAGTTAGTTTAGATGGTAATGAAGCAAAAGGATGTCCCCCAAAATGAAGATGCAGAGGAAGTTAAGGACCCTGAACATGCCATGTCTTTCACAGTTGCTCCACAGGAAAACTTGTAGGTAATGCCAAGGGATGTATTTCAAAGCCAAGAGCAAAAGCTGAAAAGAGAAGCACCAATGGTTTTGTTGGAAATTAATATAAAAATTTCTAACACAATGGTGCTAGTTCTTGGGATGATGCCCTGCCATTATTTTTTGGTTTGCAGAAGAAAGTATAAGAGTAAAATAGTTGCTTAATTTAAACATCAGAGAAAACCAGAGCATCTTATATATTCAACCACATCGATCCTTAAAATTATTTTAATGGAACCAAGACACTTTTAGAAAGATTCCATTTGTCACTTTTTCTGAGAGAAACAATTCTTCTCCCTATTTTCTCTACTCTAGACAGTGTATTTACTGTATACAACATAGTATCTACTGTGCATAAAAATATGTATAATACGACACACCCATCACTCTTCCATGTTTTCTCAGTTCTGCCTGGCTATCCCGAAATTATGTGATAAGTTTGCAATGCTGCCATGAAAATCATGCAACAGTTTACTGTCCCCACACAGACCCACCATGCAATCCTAAAACAAAAGTCACACAACACACATCCAGTAGGAGATATGGATTAGACGTGTGTTGCTTTTATCTAAAAAAATTATTTATTTATAAAGGAAAACAATAAAAACCTTACTGTTTCACTGGGCCCCAGCAGCTAAGAAATATTGTCCTTAGGACTGAAAGGTAACACAAATAAGAAATAACATCCAACACCTTTGATTTAATTTGAGACATTATAGCACAATCTTGGTAGCTAATCTGTGCCTTGGACAATATTTTACTGCTTTGTTTTGATAACTAGTCACTATTTGTAATTTTATTTATGTCTTTATATATCTGATTTATTCCAGCTGACGATCTGCCCCTAACTTCACTTTGGGAATAAAGACTCTCTCTTTTATAGGCCAGATCCTCAGCTGATGAACATGAACGAAGATCTGACCCTCCATCTTTTGAAAATAAGATGTCTTCTCTTAAATTAAAATATAGAAAGACTCAAAACCATTTAGAGACACTAGTTGTATAAATAATTATAATGCATTTGGAAATAAATGTAGTCCGTTCATAAAGTGTAATCTCCAGAATATGTTTATGCATAAAAACTTTTGAGTTTTCTCTCCATAGTAGACACATTTTTTAAACTATACAGTGTTGTGTATATAGCAGCATGTATTTAAACAGTAGAACGGAACCCAGCCAAGTTTCTACTATATTTTTGTAAAGCAGTGTAACTTTTGTTGACCGGGTTAGATCAGGAGTGGGCAAACTTTTTGGTCCGAAGGCCATATCTGGGTATAGAAATTGTATGGCGGGCCATGAATGCTCATGAAAAAGGGAGTTGGAGTGCAGGAGGGGGTGAGGGCTCCGGCTGGGGGTGCGGGCTCTGGGG